CTGTGTTCTATTCCAGATGCCTGTCCCAGTTTGGCTTGTGTTCCACATTGCATGCTCTGTCCTGGGAGTGCCTGGCTCTCCTGATTCTGCTCAGCTGTTTTCCAAGGCTCAGTTGACAGGCAGTCTGGTTGGTTACCATCATGGGGCAGCACTGACCTGGCAAGGTAATGCCCAGTCTGCAGAGGGAGCACTGGGGGTTGCCTCATCTCTGACCCCTTCGGGAGGCTCCTGGCCCTATAGACGAAGGGAACCAGCCCTAAACGGGTCCAAGAAACTTGGCACACACAGGTGAGACAGACAGTGTTCTGCTCATTCTTTCTGCCCTGCATCCACTGAGACTCTGGTCTCAGATACAGTGTCATAAATTCTTACATTGGAGAAAAATAATTCATGTCATTTTTCTCTGCCTAAGGCTAATCAAGCCTCATGCCTCACTGACATTGGTTGCCTCTGGGCTCCACTGCAGTTTGGCTCTGAAAACAGATTTACATTTAGATATGGAGAAGAAAGATGAATTCATATTGTGTATTTTCAGAATTCCCTGCGTGTGGCTTCTATTTTAGTTGCAGTAGGCTGGGGATTTAGCTCCGTGGCATAAGTGCTTGCCTGGCAATTGTAAGGTGAGTTCCATCCCTGGTACCACACACACACAAAAAGGAATATATTAGTTGCAGCTGTTTCTTTCTTACATGAATACTCAAAGTTTTGATTTCATATACTTTCTTCCAAAAGAGCTAACATTCCTCTTGTTCTATGGAGAAAAGACAAATTCATTAATGACATCTTCATTTAATAGCAATTTAAAAGATGTTGTATTCTTACACAAGTTATTAAATAAATATTTTATCAAAAGCAACTGTAGTCCAATTGGGAAAAGTGAGCTTCTTAAGGCAATTATTACCTCCCCTAGCCTATGCCCCTTTCTCTGAACATTGTACTTCTAAAACTGTGGAGATTTGGAAAATTCTGAAAGAATATAAACTCAGCTACGTGCTCTACTTTAGTTACAGAAATACAGTTCTCAACGTGCAGAAGTGGAATCTTGTTGGGTACTTTTGCATCTTGTCTCACATTGACTCAACCAGCAAAGGAAAAGCTTGAGCACGGAGTAAGTACGGCCAGTTGTGAATTCTGCAGGACAGTGCTGTCCTTAAAGGCCTATGGGTCCCCCGGGCCCAGCCTCTACCCTCAGCCCGGCCAACACAGCAACAGCAGGTTGCACTTCTAGGTGACCACATGTGTACCTGAAGTGTCCCGGACACATTCACCATGCATTTTTCAATCATACCTTGTGTGGAACAATTCTTCATTTATGTTCAGCTTTGCAATTGATGGATGCTGATGTGCATGGAGTCACCGTGAGTGGACTTCATAGATGAAGCTTTCTCTGAAGAGTGCAATCTTGTCTGCCTGCAGAAAGGAATATCTGGACACAGTCCATTCCTCGATTCGAGTGAGGTGGGGAAGAAAACTAAGAGTACATTTGTAGCTTCAGGGCCTACTCTAACATCTGCTAGGCAAAACTTCATATAAATCTAGCTTTGTCCAAGTCTACTTTGTTACCTTTTACAGGTAGAGGAGGTTGCATATGTAACACTGCCTGGATAGGTAAAACTCACTTCATATTTCTTCAGTGTTTTTGAGATCCACTCTGACCAGGTGTTACTGAGCTGTCCCCCTGGGTCCCTGTGTAGTCGTTTTGTTTGAAAAGTAGAAAAAGTCACCCAGAGATTTTACAGGAGCAGATGACCATTTGGGCTGCCCCATGCTTTCTTTAATATTGGCAGTATCTTTGTCTGCATTGTCAAAGTAAAGAATAACACAGTAAATCATACTCTACATGGAAATAGTATTGAAGTAAACAGAAATTTCTTTAAAACGCATGTTTAAACACTGATTCATGAGAATTCACTCTGAAAACAATTGCACAATACATTGAGGACATAACCACAAACAGATCTGATGCATAAAACCCTTGGGTTTAAGTTTCCTAGCAGTGACAAATTTCAGCCTCAATAAATGCACTCACTTATCTCTTTTTAGTATTATTATTAGGAAATAGGAGGATACCAGTCTCCTACACTCTCCTTTTATGTAAGGAAGGAACCTTGTTGTTTATTTTAAATATCATGTCATTACTTCATGGTTAAAACTACATGGAATGATGAGCAGTTAGCCTTCCAAGTAAACTGTAATTAAAGATATAATAGTCACTGGCTGACATATACATATGTGTGTATATGTGTGTGTGTGCAAACAGGGTGACCCTTTATTCTGAACCATAGTAATCATTTGTGGCACACCACTGTCTCTGTCCTGAGGAATTTAGCTGCCAGTTTTAGGTACATTTCCACATTTACAAGAGCTGTTATCTCTGGGCTGTGAGTACCAAATCCTCCTGAGTGATTCTTCTTTTCTCAAAGAAGGGAGTGGAGAAAGAACCCCCAGACTTGCTAGTGCTTTATAATTCTGTCAGCCACACACTGGGGACCAGGCTTTTTAAATACTTTCTGAATTGTCAGTGTAAGAAGCCAATCATAGGGAGTATTTGTCTCATCCTGCAGTTCTGTCCTTTGAGAAAACTCATGGTTTACAATCTTTGCAATCCTATGTGCTGCTCTTGGGTGACGAGACAGTTGCACGATCCCTTACAGCACAGAATCTCGGTTTATTAAAGGTGACAGAGCCAGCACCTATCTGACAGAACGAGTACTTCACCAAGCCACCGATGTGTATTTCTGAGTATATTCCTGTGCTTCAGGTCCCACATCTTTTCCTCCCTGGACACATGTCTGAGGTGTGTTGGTCAATGAACCCGAATATGCTGTTTTTCTAACAGGTAAAATTACTATCAAACCATTTCCTCTGGTGGGTACAGGTCTTTGATTTATAGAGCACTGACTTCCTTTTGTTCACCTAAGAAATTCAAGAACAACATGTAGCCCTTAGGTTCCCAGCTGTCTGTGGAGAAATGGAATGGTGTGTACTCTGTGGACCACATACAAATGGAGTTCCAGCTTCCCTCTGTGCCAGGTCAGCGGGAGGCCACCGGGCCAGCTTTACAGACAGAGGCGGTGGCCTGCCTGTCCTCAGGATTCCCCCTGCACCAGCCAACCACAGAGCTTGTTTTAAGATGGCTGGGTCAGGAACTCTGCCTGGAGGTGCTCAGGCTCGGAGGTCTCTGTTCAGTGGAGCGAGGAAGGCAGAGTTCATTCCCAAGCAGCCCCAGTGATCTGTGTGGACGGGATGGCAGCCTATCTTGCTCACTGGATTCCTGTGTGCCTGGAGGTAATGCTGGCTGGCGTAGGTGCACACACAAAGTAAGAGTGAGTCCTAATGACTTCTCTGGTGAGGGTTGAATTGTGTTTCCCACTTCAGGGGTCTTGCTGCATGCTTCACCCTAGCATAGCTACAGCAAGACGGTGGCAAACCATTGTGTTAGTGACATCTGATCCAAATGAATCTACACACACGTTCATCAAAGAAGACTCTCCCTGAGCAATCAACAGATTTCTGGGGGTCAGTGAGGATGCTGACAGGTTGTTTTAAAAGGTCTTTGGAACTAACTTGCAGAGGAATACATAATAATCCCCGTGGATGACAGTGACAGAGTCTGATGGCATCCCAAGGTTAGGAGAAGAGAGAAGAGAGGCTGCAGGGTGACACTCAGTGACGTTAGAGCCTTGGCTGAAGAAGGCTGTGGATGTTACAAGGGGCCCACAGGAAAGTTCCCTGGGTGGGCTGTCGATAGTGTGACAATGGTTCATTTGCCCTATGATGGTAGTGAGCCACCGTGAATGAAAAACACGACCCTAATGGGGTTCACTGATGCTCCCCGGAGCTGTGCTCCAAACCCCAGTGAAGGTGCCTGTTACTGTACTATTTTACAGAAAAGGAAACTGAGTCCCACAGGAGGACATCAGGTGGAAGCAGCATTTGCACCTGGAATTGTGGCTCTGGAGTCCTTCCTTCCCACCGCATTCTTCTGCAACTTTCTTCCTAAAGATGCATGGAAACCTCGTGGCCCAGTTCAGAGGGAAGGTGCTATTGCCCCAGCTCCAGGACAGGGAAGGGCCCAGGGCACTGCAGAAAGCGACCCAGCTGTAGTCCCGGAGCCGCCAGCCAGACCAGTAGGACAGACTGAGAGACCCAGGCACTGCACCCCAAGGCTGGCCCGGCCACCGACTGGACGCCCAGTGACTTGGGTTAGCTCAGGACGTTGCTCTTCCCGCTTGTCAGCAGGGACACAGTCTGCGTGGGGACGGGAGATGCGCTCTGCTCTCCAGCACGGTTCTGTTGGAGTGGGGTGCTTGGAGCTGGAGACAGGGCCTAATCTCTTACAGAGAGCAGGACGTGGAAGCTTCTACAGGGAACAGGGAAGGGAAGAGGACCCGCTGGAACAGTGGCTCGGAGCTGCATCTCAGAGGGACAGGGGCCCCCCCTCGGGGCCCTGACCCGCACCCCACGATGAGAGCGCTCTCTGTATCTGCCCTGAAACTGTCTCTACACTTCTGGTTGAATCCTGAGACGATCAGAGTAATTCATTCCAAGCAGACTCCCAGGCCTCCCGTAAAGGATACTTCTTTTTTCCCTTACTTAAGGGCTGTTAATAAATCACCCTGCAGCTAAACACAGCGTGCGCTAAAGCACTTGGCTCATCTGACCTCGCCATTAATTACTCTGCCTTCGCCCGCGGCTGTTTTCCGTGCTCCCCTGACCTTCCTCAAAGCCGCTGCCCCCATCACTCAGGCCTTGACCATCGCTCCAGGGCGATCCCCTTGACAGGTGCCTGTCTTAAAGTACTCCTTCCAGCGATCTGCTGGGCGCTCCGAGGCCATCAGTCCTCCCCGAGGGCCTCGCGTCTTCCCAGGCAGCTGGGTTTCCTAGCTGGCATGACAGTTTTTGCACAAACTGAAAGTGAAATGGGGCGGGCGGACCGGATTGAGCAATCCGCACAGGGTAACCGCCAGCCAGTGACCCGGTTGCAGAGCAGGGCAGAGATGCCCGGGGGAAGAAAGAGGAAAATGGGGAGCGCGCTCCTGCCCCTGGGGGGGCCGAGCCGGGCGCTGCCGGGGAGTCAGTTAGGGCCCAGGCCAGCGGGGGCCACAGATAACAGGAAATGATCCGGGCCCTGCGGTCGCTCGCTCCAAGGCCCCGACCTTCCAAGTGCGCGTCCTGGAATGGACGGGACGGCAGCCGCGCAGTCCCGCCTCTCTCCCCTTGCGCACAGAGCAGGAGAAATGAAAGCGGCTTGCGCTCCGGTCCTGGCGCGGACGGAAAGCCCCTCCGCGCGGCTCTGCGGGGATGCGAGGCTGCTGGCCGCGACCTTGCTGCTGGCCCTGCTGTCCGGCGGTCTCACGGTGGTGTCCTTCTGCCGGGTGGCCGCGCTGCAGGCGGACCTGGAGGGGCTCCGCGCGCAGCTGCAGAGAGCGCCCCCGGCCGCCCCTCGCAGGGCTCTGGGCGCCGCGGGTCCCCAGGTGAGTGCGCTCTGGGCTGCTGCAGCGCCTGCCGCCGCGCCCACCGCCCAACCAGCGTAACCGGCTGTCTCTTTTGCCAGGGGGTCTTCGCGCCGGCGTCCCTGGCGGAGAGCAACTCCAGCGGGAGCGTCAGGAGAAAGCGCGCCCTGGAGGGTCCCGAGGAGACAGGTGGGTCCGGGCGTGCACACCCATCCCGGGAGCTGCAGGTAGTGTAGCTTGGCGCCCAGGAGGGCGCTGCCCTAGGCTTTGGAGCGGAGCCCCGCAGTGGTTGATGCCATAGGCTGCGCCCGGCGCCCGGTCCTCCAATGGGCAGGGTGTGCGGGGAGCGAGCAGGGGTCGGAGACCGGTCCGAGGTCAGGCACGGTGCTTCAGGGCCACGCCGCTTCCTCCGCTGTGAGAAACGGAAAGGGTAAATGAGGGCCAAAACGTGTACCAGACAAGGGAAATGGCACGGGGACAGGGATGGGGAGAGGAAAAGGGAAGAAGGGGAAAGACAAAAAGGACACAGAGGGATGGACGGGGAAGCAAAGCTTTGGTAACCACGGCGGGAAGAAGGGTTGGAGAGCCGAGAGCAGTGAGGGAAAAAGGAGAATGGACACGGATCCCGGACACTGGCACGCAGTCTCTCTAATGGATGTGGTCACTGTCTACCTAGAATAGACCACCAGGTACTCAATGTTAAGACAATAAAAAGAGCCACATCCAGAGATGGGTCTAAGGAAATGATATGATAATTCGTGCAAATACAGTGCTTGAAAACAAAACACAGCAAAATCGAGTTAGTGAAAAAGGGGCAAATGAACTGATAGACTCCGCTCAAAAGAAACACAGAAGGTCACTTAGCAGACCTGGTCACCAGGGAACTGCACATCGCGGTAACTGACATTCCGACTCGCTCCTGCCAGAATGTCCGGCCACCAGGAGCACAAAACGCGGTGAATTCCGGGGAGGCTGCGTGGAGGGGCCCCTTGTGCACTGCGTGTGGGAACGCACACTAGCGCAGTAGCTGTGAGAATCAGCGTGCGAGGCCTCAGAACAGCAGCACTTTCACGTGGCCCAGCCTCACCGGTGTGTGCCCGGTGGGTGTGCGCCCCAGGGAGTCAAGGGCTTCGTCCTCCAGGGCTCCCTGCGCACCTGCGTCTGGGGCAGCTCGAGACACAGCAGCTGACTCTGTCCTCACCGCCTGGGTGCTGCGGGGAACAGAGGAGGGGGAGAATGCGTGTCTGCAGGATGCTGCATAGACACACGGGTCCTTCATCCCTCTGTTCACTGGCAACTCTGTCTCTACATCAATTTTTCAGCCATAAAAATGAATGAAATTACGTCATGTTCAGGAAAATACAGGCAACTTGAGACCATAACCCTATGTGAAAGAAATCAGACGCAGAAAGTTAAATATCACACAGCTTCCCTTATATGGGAACCTAAAATACAGATAAATAAATAAATAAGTAATAAGTAAAATAAAGGAGAAATGATAGGAAACAAGAAGATAGTCATTTTGGAAATGAGGAGGAGGAAGAGGGGAGGGGAGAGTCAAGGGGAAACAATTAAGAACGGTCAGGGTCTGTTACCTGCACACACTGGTTTCCTGACATGAGTACTGATATTTTATTTTACAAATATACACTAGTAGAAAAATTGATCTTTTTGGTTCTGCTGCTACAAAAATAGTATCGAAATATTAACATGTTGCTTATTTACTCATAATAATGAACGTCTTTGTATTTGATTGATTGCTTCTAACTATATCTTCTGCTCACTTTTATTTCTGATTTCCCATTGTCCTAATTTTTAAAAGGTTTTGAAAAAAACTTTCTAATAGTAAATATTGTTTATCAAAATTTCAATATACATATTTTTATAGAATTTTGCTGCTTTTTAAAATTTGTGCAGATTATTGGGGACCACAAATTGACCATGACTAATTTTATACAGTTCGCTGAGGGATAAAATGGAAGCTTGGGTTACCAGTACCACCCACTTGAGGTTTCCCATTAACCCCTTAGGGAGGGGCCATCCTCTCCCCACCCACTAAAACTGAAAGTAAAAGCACTAAATTTAAAAAACACTCCAGGGCAAGAAACTTCTCCGCCCTCCTGAGTCATCCTAGGGTGTACTCCCCTGCAGTCATAGGGCTTAGTCTTCCACAGACTTTAAATCTGTCTAGCCCCATTGTCACTGTGTACAGCCAATCAGTAGGGCTGTCTTGGAGGGTCGCATCCCAGCCACTCATCCTGTGTTACTGTGTCTCACTATACCCTTAACACAGACCATCCCGCTCTTGGCTGGTCCCCAATACAGATTTTGCATTAATACTAATGAAATAATCTTTCCATTTTGTCTAACATGTCAGAACCAAACACAGATTTGCTCATGATCTGTATTCCCTTTGGCTTTGATCTGATCATGACTTAATGTTTTACTTGTTTTAACTCATTAACCCTTCCCGTGTTTTTTCAGTGAGTCGTCTCATGCTGCCATTAACTTCCTGCTTTCCCCTTTTCCAATTTTTTCGTCTTCCAGAGGGCCGCCTCAACCAAGTGTGTTAAATGTTTCTGATAAGCTTTTTTGCATTGGAAACTTACTTATATCTGCATCATATACATGTACAAAATACAGTGGTACCTCAGTTCATGAACTAAATTCTTTCCACAAATTTTTTCACAAACCAAATTGGATGAGAACTCAATCAAGTTCCATGATTAGGTTCAAGGTTGATCTTAGGTAGAAATTTGATTCAGTTTTCATGCAATTCAGTTTGTGACCAGAATCCTGAAAAGAATTATGTTTGTGAACCTAGGTACTGTTGTATTGTATATGGTACAATATATTTGAGACCCTGTTTCTGTCGGTAGCTTATTATTCTATTTATTTCCTTGAATTACATTAAGTAATTTTGCACTGTAATAGGCTTCAATATCTATCTAGGGTCAGGATTCCTCAGTTTTCATATTCTCTGCTACTGTTTTTTCACTTCTGAGAGCTTTAAAAATAAACCTTAATTTTTTAAATGGTTACAGACTCATTTCAGCAGATTTAAGAAGAAAAAAGATGAATAGAGTTAAAAATAGAGTCTTGAGTCACATTTAGCCAAAATATATTATTTTCCATAGCACCTTCGCACACTTAGTGGTCCACAGTCCTGGGTTTGAAGATAACGGTCTCCAGACAGGGTCAGCCACGATGGCCTGCCTGTGAAATCAGCCACAGTGTTGTTCTGCTATTCTCCTTTCGTGGAGGAAAATCTTACTTTGTTTAACATTATGGCAAATGTTTATGTGCCCAGGGAACTTTCTGGAAACACAGTGATATATTTCTTTTTTTTCTGTCTGGAATGACAGGGTTTCTATCTGGAATAAAGAAGTCTCTTACATCTTAAACCTTTTAAATTTTTGTTTCTGATTTATTTTCCTTACACCTAGATGAACTTAGCTTCTCCTTTTTACCTCCAGAGCGTTCATTTATGTTCTTATTGATCAAGTGTCTATGCGTGCCCCAGAATTGTGTGTCTCTTTTGGGATTCTGGAGCAAGATAGAGGAAGGGTAGATAGAGGTCCTTTCTCCCAGCTCTCTAAAGGTCAGCATTGCTTTTATTGAATGTTGAAGCTAAGTACTTTGGCTCAAATTTCATTTCTTAATTATTTTGTGTTTCAAATTAAAGTTTTAATAAGTTTAATGTATTTCAAAAGCTCATCTGTGATTACAGTATAATAAACAGAAATGCGGGGAAATCCAGGGTAAAGAGTTGCCAAATGGATCATCACAGCCAAGCATTCACTTCTAAGACCTTAAGTGTCTCAACTGTAAAAAGTAACTGAAGCAATATGGCTTTGAGACTATCACACAGTGCAATGTCTTTGCATGTGGATTCACGATGGATTGTGACTTAAACAGTCACCTAACTACACTTTCATTCATTGCAAAATAAACAGACCCTAAAGATTGCTTCCCCAGGGTCCATCAAGAAAGTGAATTCTTTTAAATGGGTTGCAACTAGGATAGTTTATGGGTAAAAATCGTTACCCTTCCTGTTCTCTACTTTGTTAGTAAATAAAAATATTTAAATGTGATTACAAATGTGTGTGTTAGATTACAAAAAGACAAAAATTATTTTGCTAACTTTTGCTCATCATTCTAGTGATAATGTTTATTATAGTCATCTCAATCGCTGTAGCAAAATAATGGTGAGAATATGAACAATTCAAAGATAATCAAGAGTGGACAGACTGTCCATATTTTGTCTTTCATATGATTATCATAAGACTTTGGGTAGTCTAATGTAGATTATTTTTCTCCACTTTGCATCAATTTTTAGTGTAGTTCTAGAGTTACAGGGAAGTTGTAAAGCCAGCACAGAGGGTTGTGAGGAACTCCTCCATCTGCTCCCCCTGATGTTAAGTTCTTCCAGGATCTTGGGACCAGGTTACAAAGAAGAAACGGATCCTGTGGCTCTATGACTAGCTCAATCCCTATTCTCCACTTGGTGTGGGTGTTTCAGGGTCCCTCTAGAAGACCCCTAAATTTGATTAGGAAAGATTAGGCTCCGGTGTTACTTTTTGAAGCGTCCTTTCTTGAAATTTGTAGTCCAGCTCTTTGGCAAGGGAAAAGGACACACAGGTTTCTAACACCAAGCTGTTCTCTGATCCTTGCTTTCTAACTTGGCTCTGATGTGCAAGGCTGGATTGTGAGCGCTGAAAGCTTGCAAAGCGGAACTTGATCGCTAGCCTGGCACCCCCAGTCCACTGAGCCTCTGACCTAAGGAGGTCGAGCTCCTTCCTGGAACCGCTGGCTGCTGCCAGGTGCTCTCTGACCAGAGCCTTCCCCAGCCGCTGTCTCTCTTCTTCCTGCTTCAATCTGTTTCAGTAGTGAGGCTTTTTGTTTTCAGTGTTGCAAGAGCTGGCTTCTGCTCAATTTAAAAAAAAAAATTAAATTGACAGTAATGACCTGAAAACAAAATCTTTGAACCCTGTTCTTGTTAAGCCTGAAGTTTTGGGAAACAGTAGAACCAGGAAACCAGTCAGTCCTTGCAGCCCAGGATGATGCTGTGTCCACAAATTCTTCCTGTGCAGTGAACTGGAGAGAGAGGTGGAGAAAACAGGGAATGTGTAAATTACAACATGTGGAAAAGTAGATGCATGTGTATTAGGAGTGCGGAGGACAAGGAAAGGGAAAGAGGCTGTTTATGTTCTACACTGAGAGGCCAGGAGCAATCTTTCCACCTTCTGGAAAGATCAGTATTTTTTCATCCTTGCAGCTTTTTTATTACTTAGGCATGAGTTGGTGTTTTATGACAAATGCATAGTGACATTGAGGGGTGTATTGTTCTTATGAATAACTCTGTATGAATCGATAATATTTATTGTGCTATTCACTCACTGTTTTCATAAGTCAGCTCCTGTTTCAAAGAGTGCATGGGACAGCTGTACATTTGTTGTGGAGGTGTTTTCATTTAAAGGCCATTCTCATTAAAGAGAAGAAAGAGGTCTTTTTAAAACAGGTGGATCACCACTGTTTGGGCAAATGGCTGATACAGAAAACACAGAGAAGAGAGAGGCTTCAACGGCTGGCTTTCCTGCCTGCAGCCCTGAGTCAGATGCTTGGCTGAGTGTGTCATTCTCCCCTGGCTAATCAGATTTCCTAAACGACGGTGTTATCTCCGTTTTAAATGAGAAAAATTGAGCCACAGACAGTTTCCTCTCTCAGCAAGCTAAATGGGTAGGCGGGGAAATTAAACAAAGTTAACATAAATTTTAAAGCCACCCTAAAGTAACAATGAAGTAAATAAATTTCTTGCAGTTTTCTACAAAGCACATCTAAATTATGGCATCCACAGTTTGTTTTCAATGGCAGCGATCCAACCTTAAGCTGCGTGCATCCTTGGCAAAAGCTCTACCCTGAGCTACAGCCTCAGCCTGGTATCCACTGATTTTGATAAGACTATGAAGTGTATATTATTATTTGCATTATAAATACACAAATATTTCAAAATTAAGTATGAAGCTGATGGTCATACAGCTAATTAATAGGAGAACTCAGGTGTGTGTTCGTTGCTGTTTACTGAACTCTTAACTCTTCTCAATCATAGAAGATGCCTATGCCTGCTTTTGGAGTAAGCACCAGACCTGAGAAAAATTAGTGGGTCCTGCAGAGGGTGGAAATGTTATTTCTATTGTAGTGGATCAGAGGTGCAGCAAGTGAGGAAATAACAGGATGCTGTTAGTTGGGCTCACAGGAAGATAGTCAAGAGGAGCAAAAGTGGGCTTGCAGATTGAATAGACTTTGGTAAGAGGGAGAATACCACAGGTTGAAACCTGTAAAGAAACAGAGAAAAAAATTAAGAAGAGGGCTTCTTTTATCATGCATAGTGGCAATGGCACATTCAGGCACCTCTTACAGTTTTCTTTTGCTCCTCTGAACTTTTGGATTTTTTTCCAGTTAGTGATCTGGTGAAGTGCTTTTGCAAATTCATCCTTCATCTAGTCAAATGCAATTGTCAGTTCCTCCTACCGGATGCCATAAACTAGGGGAACACAGATTCTGTCTCTTTTGGTTTGTTGACCTGAGCACAGCACCTGCCATAAACTAATTGCTCAGTAAGTTCAGTGAAGGAGCTGAAGGAGAGATGGGATCTAAACTCGACAAAATTTGAGGTTTAAAACAATTGCACATGATTATTAGTGGGCTTTCAAGGCCGAGGAGGAAGGAAAAAGGCACATTTCTCAGTTTCTGACTTGCACTGCTCAGAGGCTTATTATACATTCACTAAGGGGGCAAATAGACAGGGCAGACAAGGGGCGTGCCTGTGGTGAGTGGTGCTGTAGATCTGGGCATGCTGGAACTGGGCACCATTACAATGCCCAGACGAAATGTCCGAGGGGAAGTTTAGGATCTAATAGCTGATGGTGCAACTTATTAGTACTTCCATAGACACCAAAGTGTGTGTCTAGTTTTGGCTTTAACTTCCTAGACCCCAGGTTGGTTTGTAGGAGGAATTGTCAAACTTCTGCTCTTTCCTGGCAAATTATTGCTACCATTCCGCTCTGTGTGTTTGTTACTGGTATCTCCTAACAGCATGGATCTCTCCCCATGATCTTGCTAACCTTCTGCAGTGGTTCTGGAAGTCCCCTTCCCTAAGTGTCTTTGTGGCTGCCTCAGTGTCCTGAATCGATTCTAGATACTGACTCACCATGGTCATTTTCACTCTGGAGAAGAACTGAAATTGCACGGTGCCAGATCCAGAGAATAAGGTGGATGTGGACACAGCCCTGTGTTCTAGAGCCTGCCTTTCTGTAGAGGGCACTGAAGAGCAGCATCCACTCCATTTCTGATCACACCTTGTAAAGACACACATGACAGGAGACTTGAGGAACTGCTTCAGAAATCTGCAAGAACGGCGAGATGAGCATGTTTGAAACAAGGGGGGGATGTCAAAGGGGATCAGTTTCGATGTCTTTTACTGCAATAATTTTAAAAATACACATTCACAGTATAGTGTGACCACCCCACATACGCACAGTGACAGAAGGTGGGAAATTGGTAAATATCCTTGTGACTTTTTGGTGTGGGAGAAAGATGAGAGTCCTGCGTGCTCTGTCTGCCTTCGCAGGCATCACAAAATGCACCATGGTGCCTTGTAGATAACAGCCAAGCAGAATTCGTTGGAAAAATAGTATGTTTGAAATAGGTTCATTCCTGCTGCTCCAGATACTACATGCTTTGTGTTCAGTGGCTTTGGTCCTCCCATCTCTCGAGGTGACCTCACTCATAGCCATTCTGCCACATTGTGTGTCATGGGGTTTCACGGATTTTCACTGCAAGAGCATTCTCCATAGGCACCGTCCTGTGAGACTCCACTTTCCCTATGGCACAACATTTGGTTCACAAAATCGGTAAAGTAATCCCCAGAGTGGCTACAAATGCACTGCTGAAACTAACAGAGACCTCGACAGAAGTTAGACAGGTTCTGTGATTACAAATAAATTCCAGGTTTTGTTATATTTTCATCTCTAAAGGCCAAGGAAAAAAATTGAAGGCTTTCGTATGCAATCAGCCTTCACTAGTTTGCACTCAACAGCTTCAGACTACTGCATGAGTATTACTTTGTTATTCGAGTTTTAACTGTTAGAAACATTTAGACTAAATACTAGTGTAGAAGCTACCCCGTGCCCACTTCTTAAAACACATGCATTGAGAAGCATGTGTTTCAAGTATTTTTTTTTACTCTGAGTAGAACACTTGCTATTGAAAAATCTAAACAAAACAAAACAAAAACCCTCAAAAGAAATGATGATGCAGAATTTTAAAACAAAGGGGAACCCTCCCTGGGTTTAAAACTAATGAAAACATGCAAGCATAGGTCACTCAGATATTTGCTAGTTTTCTTTTCTTTTCCCTACATACACAACAGATAGTGTACTTAGTTTGCTTTATTGTCTGAGATATTTCTTTATCAAACACTATCACTTTTTATTCCTCTGAATATGTTTTGAAATATTTCACATGCTCTATGTAGCAGTTTTCCTGAAGATGAAGCCTAACACAAATAGGACTTTTTATTTTTAAAAGATGTTCTTTCTTTCTCTCTTTCACCCAAAATACTTCACCAGAAAGGTTGACATTGATTCCCAAGCAAAAGCAAATGGACTTAAGTTCTGATGTAATTACTTTCTATCCCTGAGGCCTTAAACGAATTGCTTACATTTCCTAAGCCTCAGTTTCCATTGCCTAAATTGTAGGACTCTTTTGAGCATGAAAGGAGGCAAAGTATCCTAGGCCTAAGGTATCCTAAGTCTAAGGTATCCTAGGCCAAAGATATCCTAAGCGTAGGGTATCCTAAGGAAGCAAGATACTCTAACACTAAGGCTGAGTTTCTGCCAGCCAGCAGTCACATCTGCTCCATAAATGTGAGAATTTTTATGCTCTGTGCTAGTAGAAGTCCTGTTTTCAGTACCAGTAAGTCCGTGTTTAATGTTAGACTTTAAAAAACCATTATTTTGGAATGATTTGGTAAGTTTAACTATTTCATGTATTTGGTAGATGGGAAAAAATGAATACACCTCCTTTCTGTGTAGCAGTAATGTTTCAGAGCAAACTAAATTCACCTGAACAGATGACGTGCTTGCTGTATGCAGAGAGCTTACAATGCTTTCTAAAGTACCCTGACTTTCAAACACATTGAAATAAATGGGCGCACTTTGTAAAGGAACTTATAGAGTAGTATCTTGCAAAGCTATGTAAAAAGTATATTTGACTTAGTGTTTCTGGGAGAATAAGTTTGCAGCTCTGTAGGAGCAGCCTCCTTCGCCCCCTTTATTTCTACTCTGGAAGTTACAATAATGTATTTTTGGTTTTCAGTCACTCAAGACTGCTTGCAGCTGATTGCAGACAGCGACACGCCGACCATACGCAAAGGTAATGAAATCGCTCCAATGCTTTCCGCCCATGGCCCATAGACTTGTAAGTCTGAGGTCTGAAGCTTGTGTTGGAGCTGCCTCTCAGATCGGCATCCTAACTCTTCTTGATATCAAATGCAACAAAGCAAAATGCGTTCCAAATGACTGGGGAATAAACCCCGACCCTAGCATAATAATCTGGTCAGCAGAATTACCTTAGAGGAACTGCTTAGAGGCTGTAAGTAATTAGATTACAATAAATTAAATTAAATCAAATGCTAAATCAAATTTAACTTATTGAGAAATCATTTTGGCTTCCACAATGATATAAGAGCCTCTTCACAGATCTTAATTCTTCTATATCGTTGTAGAAATCATAATGGGATGAAAATAAAAATGAACTTAGCCTATAAACTAGATTTTTATGACAGTTCTCCCAGGTCAGTTAATACAGGATAACTTGTCATTTTCCCACAGACATACAGTGTGAAGCTGGGTTTGTTGTTGGAAGTTTTTGTTAGCTTTAACTCTGCACAACTATGTATTTTCTGTGATAATAGCCAGAAATAATGTTCATGGAGAATAAACTTTTATTTGTTTTTTTATTGATTTAGAGAAAAACAGCAAAACAGAAAAAAGGGTAGAAGTAATATAGAATTTCAAAGAAAAAAACAGTGAGAAATTACTAGTTGATAAATTGCATATTGTTATCTTAGAAATAGTTGCTCAAATTACAAAATCAAAGCATAAAAAGTGGACAGACAATAACAGTACAAACAATTCTGCTTGATAACTAACAAAAAATTAGTAGTATGGTTATCTATCTTGTGACTTATATATACAGTTATATCCTTTATTTTCCCCCTTACATTATTACAATATCTACTATACATTTCGATCTTATTACTAGCACAATTTGTAATAGTTAAATCTTAGAAACAACCAAAATGCCCATCAACCACAGAGTGAATGAAAAGATGTGGTATTTTTATACAATGGAATATTACTTAGCTGTAAAAAGGACGATCTTGAGGCTTTTATATGTAAATGGAGGCAGCTTGAGACTATCCTCAGGAGTGAAATAAATCAGGCTCATATTTGTAAATATCACATTGTCTCTCTAGTATGAAAATAATAATAATACTGAGAATAAGCTTTTAATATCATTTCTAGAGTTATTGCCCAAAATATTAATCTAGAGAAATGGCTCTGGAAATAAGGGTTTTATTGTCAAATAAGTTTAAAACATAGCATCCTGTGTAGTTTTCTTTGACAGTCACAAGGCACATCAATAGATTATTGAATCTGTGAGGGTTTACTCCGGAAAAAAAAACAAAAACAAAAACAAAAAACTTCTTTGCTTTTAAAAAAATCCTTTTACTCTAACCTGCACCAAAGTCTCCTTGAAAGCAAACCTTTTGGGGAATTGCTGTAGAATAACCCCTTCTGTTCATGCAAAATAGTCACTGAACAAAGCTGTATTAGGAGCAACTGGCTGGTTGCTTCAGGAAGGCAGAGCTGTTCATCTCATGTGTGATTGGGGACATTTGACCGTCCCCTGCCTGTGGGGCAGCCCAAGGTGGCTGCAGGGTGCTGGCTTTTGTGCTTTGATGGAGCTGGCTTCTTGATAAAGAGAAACGGGAAAAATCCTGCAAATGAGCAAGTGAAATATGGAGTGATGCGCTGATTGCTGAGGGGCAATCAGGCAGACAGAGGCAGTGTGGGTTCTGGGACTTGCAATATGGGTTCTGGGTTATCAGGAAATTAAGGGAGTAGGAGAGGGCAATCGAGCTCCCCCGGAAGGAGTGTGGATTTTCTTTCCTCCCGAGTTCCCAGACACTGTCCTGCAGCTGCCTTTTTCTCTGTAACTTTGACTACCAGAAGCATCAAGCAAGAAATAAACTCTTTAAAAACTTAGTGTTGCTCTATGTTTTCCAAAATTCCATTTGCAACTTTTACAACTATTTCCCAAGAATTAAAATAGAGCCAGAAGAATACCCTAAGGACCAAGATAAAATTAAAAAAAAAAAAAAAAAAAAAAAAACTGGAGATAAAAACTTTCTTCAGAAATGCAAAGTGAAGTAGCTCTTACCCCCAAGCTGAACATGAGGCATACCAAGTGTCGGGGCTGTCCTGGGGTGCTGAGCACAGGCCGGCAGAGGCAGGGGCGCTGCCCTGGGGTGTGGACCTGGAGTGCTCAACCCCTGGGACGCAAGAGCAGGCCTTGCAATGCCAGCAAAGCCTGTGAACGATACTCACCTGCTGGTGTGCGTGAACGTGCTGGCAGGGAAACCGGGGAAGATGGCAGGTTGTGAAGAAGGCGGTACCCAGTGGAACATTTTCACGGGCCAGAACCCATCCCTGTTTTTGTAAGTGATGACACACTTCACCTTACTGCATTTCATGTAATCCTAGGCCCGAGTACACAGAACCCCAGTCCTGGGCTGCAGTCGGGGTCCCTGTTGCGGAGGCAGAGGAGCTCCGAGGAGAAGGCCTCTTTTCTGATGAGACTTTGAATCGCTGTCTTTGTTATGTTCCATACTTTTGCTCAGGTGGGCACAGAGAAGGGAGGCTGCTCGGAACAGAGATGGATAAGAGGGATCTCAGGGAGTACGCCCACACCCTTCCCATGTCTATCTGTGGGATTTAAATTTATTTTTTAAAATAAGTAGTACATTCATGTATTGGAAAAAATTTAAAGCGTAAGTGTGGACTGAACATGCCTGCTTCTCTCCCAATCTGTCCCTAGCCCTCTCTGCCTCATGGCTTACTGCTTTCCTGCTTCTCACTGCAGATTTTATAGCTCTCAAAGCAATTAGAACAGAGTTCTGCTTTACCTCATTCCTACACTAAACACAATGTATCATACTTGCAATGTGTGTTACTGGAAGCAAGCTTATAACCTGTTTTTTTTGTTGTTGTTTATTTGTTTGCTTTTTACTTGACACACATTACAGGTATTTCGATGTCTGTAAATAGGAATTTAAGTTGAGAATCACAGTATTCCCTGGGTGGATATTACTTGTTTAATCAGTTTCTTACCAAATGATGCGTGATGCTCTTTTTGCAAGGATGATGCTTTGAAGCGTAACTGCATGTTCGGAACTTTGCCCCTGTCACCTGTGGGTAGCGTGCGGTTTGAGTTTGCACAGCTGTTGCCAGTGGTTCCAGAGGCTGATTAGAGGCTGTGCTGCGATTGGCGGGGAGGAGCTGCTGGCGCAGGACGGGATCAGGGAATTTGTTTTCTTGGATTACAAAACATGTGGGTCGCCTCTCTGTATATTTTAAGAACCATCTGAGTTTCTGTGCTCCTGTTCTTGTGATTTTTTAATTTGTATTTCTAGTTCCTTTCTCCGAGCTGCTAGCTCATCTTCTTTGCATTCAGTTGCTTCTATAAATGGCCACATTTCCTTTTGTTGTATTTTCTGGTGATTCTTCCTTTTGTGTGTAAAGGTCTTGAGGGGATGTCTTTACTTCACAGTGTGTGCTGCAGATATTTCCACAGTATGTCATTTCTGTATTCAGATGGAAGTATTTTATTTCTTCATTTATGATTCCTTAGTAGGCATTTATCTCAAAATTCATTTTTAACTTTTTTGAAAGAAATTGTTTTATATGTATACAGAACAAACTTGGTTCGTTTTTAATCCCATCTTAAAATAATGTTCATATATCAGGTCATTTTCACTTAAATTTACTTATTTCAGTAATGATTGGCTTTTACCCATCACATCATGATATATTGCATATTTTCTTACATTTTAACAAAATAATTTTCTTTTTCTTTTTGCTACTGGGGATCAAACCCACAACCTTGTGCTTGCCAGGCAGGCACTTAGGCCTCTGAGCTAAATCCTTGGCCCACAAAAGAATTCCTCCTTTGTATTACTAAAGATTGTTTTGCTCTTGGTGTGTGTAGAGGTCTAGTAGTCATCTGTACAATTGTATATTTTTATTAAGATCTGATTCACACAGTATAAAATCAAATCACACAAGTCTCTGACCTTTCACACCTTCACAATACTGTGCAGCCATCAACTTTCTTGCATCAAAACACTTTGAACAGCCCAAAAGAGAACCCTTAACAGGGCTGGAGATTTAGCTCAGCAGCATAAGCATCTGCCTTGCAAGCAGGCAGGCGTGAGATCGATCCCTGGTACCAATAAAAAGGAAAAAGACAAAAAAAAAAAAAAAAAAAAAAGAGAGAACCCTTACCCCATGGAGCCATTATTTGGCAGTTCTCCGTTACCCCAGCCTCCAGTAACTATGCCTCTTCTTTCTGATTCTGTGGACTCACCTAATCTGGATAATTCACACAAATGTATTCATACAGTGTGTGACTGTAGTAGTGTCTTGCTCCTTTCACTGAGAGCCATGTTTCGAGGTTCATCTATACTGTACTATCTGAGCATTAGCGCTATGTGGTTCCATACAAGTGAGTAATATTCCATTAGATGTAAACCGCGACTTCCCAACCCTGTTACCCATTATCACGCACTTGGGGTATCTCCCCATTTGGATAATTGTGAACAGCGATCCTATGTGTAAGATATTTATTGTGTTTGGTATTTATTGTGTGAGGTATTTATTTGAGAAAGTACAGTTATTTGGAGAGAATACAGGATGAGAGTTGTTGTGAAATGCAAAGTGTTATCAATAGTGGCTGAATCATTTTACATTTCCAGCGAAAATGACTACTGTAATTCACCGAAGCCTCACCTCATTTCCTTACTATTTTCCTTACTGTCATTTTCTTATTGGATGTGAGGTAACGCTTCACAATGGTGTTGATTTGCATACCCCAGTGGCTAGCATGTGCTCGGTGGAGTTGTTTGTTATCTTATTTGGAAAAATGCCTATTCTAATCCTGTGACTGTATTCTGTTTGGGTCATTTGTCTTTTCATGGTTGAGTGATGAAATGACTTTATATATTGCGGGCCAGATTCTTACAGATTGCCTGGTTGAAAATATTTTCTCTTATTTGAGACATTATTTCTTGAATTTCTTTGACAGTGCCC